GTAGAGGAGAGAAAATCGTTTTTAGCTAACAAAATTAAACCTTTAACAGTCAATATCATTCAAACGAAAGTCAATCAAACATACCATAACTTTGATCAACGTCGATTTCAGCCATTTCACCACGAATGCGCCAAGAAACCATTGCAGTTCTTCGTTCTTGCAGCCGTCGCTCCTAGGGTTTTCACGTAAGGATTTTGCACATAGTTGTGTGTTTTTTTGGTATATGATTGTGTTGTACAATGTAGAGTATGATCGTTTAATTGAGCGCATCGATTTCTTAAACTTGTGGTAGGATGAATAAGTAAAATGACGGAAATAACCCTCAACGTGCAAGGCACGTGGGGGTTTTAACTCCAAAATCAAACGGAAGGTTAGATGAGGGACCAGGCGTGCACTAAACCAAACTATTAAGGATTGGCAGGGTTAAAAATTGGAGTTAGGGACTAGGCGCGTAACAAACACCAAACCATAGGGACCATTCGTGTAATTTGTCCTTAAAATTTCTTTTAAATAAACTCATGTAATACATTAGTCTCACACATAGTTTATGAATAAACCTTCTTGTCGGATGAAACCGGTTGGTGATAAATTTACGAAAAAACTTTCTAATTGGCAAGTTAAAGCGTTATTAGTGGGGTCATATCACTATCCTCCAATCGTTTTTGGGAAGCATTGTCATTTATTACATGTCCCATTTTAGGCCCCAGAAATGATCATTAATACTGTAGAGTCTCTTAGAAATTGGTTTTTTGTTGGAGGAGAGGTAGGAGAAAAGAATCTTACTCGGGTTAATGTGGGACTAGCCCACTTCATAGAGGTGGAAGTCTCTTAGGAGAAAAGAATCTTACTCGGGTTAATGTGGGACTAGCCCACTTCATAGAGGTGGAAGTCTCTTAGATTGGAGGTCCCGGGTTCAAACCCGAGCGTAGGAGAATTAACTAACTTGGTGAATTTAACTTCAAACCATTAACTAATCGTTCAAAAAAATGGAAAATTGTTATGGCAAGTAAAGAAGATGGTGACCTTGAAATTGGAAGTCTTTTTGTGTTCAATAGATCGCTTCTTTTTTAATGAAGATTTTGTTTTTCTGAAGACCCAAAAGCGGCTATCTATGTGAGGATGGTTAGATTGGCTCGACTATTTTTACCAGTTTTGTAAGTGCCCCATGGACAAATATTTTGAGATCCTCGTTGTGAATGTGTGAAAAAGAATTAACATTGAGTCCTTTTGTTTGAAAAAGTGGGAGATGATAATCTTACAAGTATGTGGGAGGAAACTTGGTTGATATTTTGTTGTTATTGTTGTTGTTGAATTCTAATAAGCATTGCATGGTCAAATCTAGATTTCTGCTTGACATTTGGGCTAATTTTCTTAGAAGAATCGATCGCGTTGCATGAAGATCTTCAAACAGTTGTGCTTTTTCGTAAAAGAGATGGTGTTTTGTAGTTAAATCTTGATTGTCAAGAAGTTTGTAGTTAAATCTTGATTGTCGATGATAATTCGACCCGTCGAAATACTTTAGTTCCAATTAAGTTAAATGTTTTGAACCAAGGAGTTTCTACCTCAATAGTATCAGATATTGTCTTTCCTCTTTGAGGTCGGGGATTCAAGTCACGTCTGTGACATAGGCCGTTTTAGAAGTAGTTTATGATTAGATTAAATTTGTTGTTTAAAAAAAAAGGTAAATGTTTTGACTTAAAAACTATGTCTTGATAAGGTTCTCACTAGAGTAAACTTGGATAATCATGCAATCAATGTGGTGTCCTTGCTTTGTCATATTTGCGATTTGCATTTAAAGACGGTTGCTCATCTTTTTTTTTCTTGTCTCGTGCTGTTCTATTTGGGATCAAATAAGTCAATGGTGAGATATTGGTATTCCTCATGTTAGGTCCTTCCATAATTTATTGCATTAGTTGGATCATGAGACAATGTTGGCAGTTTAAAGAAAATGTTAGGATGTAGTGCTTTTTACAACCTTTTGGATTCTCTGAAACTACACAAACTCTCTTCTTCTAAAAGCGATCAAACTAAAAAAATATGTTTTTCTAAGAGTGATCAAACCAAAAAAATATGATTTGTACGATAAGATTGTTGCTCAATCTTTCTTTTATTTTTCATAAAAGTTTTAAGATTAAATTGATCAATTAGTTAGGTTGACTTCAAAACACAATTAATGCTATAACATTGTTGTAATCTTTGCTAGCAACTTGTTAGTATTCTAAGTAAATTTTGTCATTCCAAATATAAATTTTGTGATATTATGGTTTATCTTACTCATGTTAGATATATAACTGATTGACCGAGACATACATACTTGACTCACATATCTTATATCTTATATCTTATACTATATTAGTCATATCTTGAATTTTAAGAGGTACAAGATACAAAACTTTTGTACAAATCAATTATGCATAACAAAACCATTATACTTACCAAAATTTTGAAGACTTGAATTAATGAAGGTTATTAAAAAATTAATTTGGAGCAAAATAACAATTTTAAAATATTAAATTCATCAATTAATTTACATTTATTAAACTAGATACAAATAATAATTAATTTACATCAAATGTATAAACATACAATATAAATATAAGTTCTAAACATAAATATTTTAATTAAAAGTGGTAATTTTTTTATTACATAATAACTAATAACAAAATCTAATAATTATTTTCCCGTAAGAAAACTATTCGCCAAAAAAATTATTTATCGACGTTGCTTTGCGCCGGGACACGTCTAGTATCATTTATACATATTTGATAGAAGAAATTGTTAGAAAAGTCTCAATATTTTCGGAAAAGTTTCATTTTAGTCATAATTTTTTTTGAACATAAAAGTCCCGATTATTTCATTTTGGCTGAAATTAACAAAAAAAAATCTTTTTTTAACAGGAAATGATATATTATCGTGTAAAATCAAATAATTAGGAATTTTATGTTCAAACAAAAAATTAGGACTAAAGTGAAACTTTTTCGAAAATATTGGGACTTTTCTGACAATTTCTCTGTTTGATAGAGTAAATTACATGAATTGTCTATGGTGCAGGTGTCAAAATTGTAATTGTCTATGGTGCACGTGTCAAAATGCACGCTCAATCCATATTTTCAAAAAATAATTATGACTGTCCTTCATGTCATTAAAAGTTGCATGTTTCATCACTCGCTAGTTTAAATTTATACGTTTCATCCATTGTGAAAAACATATAATGCTCTTTTCATTTTCAGTTTCATTTATTTAATATTTTTGATATTTTTAATTATTAAAAATTATTTTAGTTATTTTTCTATTTTGTTGAAGAACACCTGACCACCACCCTTAATTGGAAAATGGAGCACCACCACTACCCCTCACTTCACCCCACCCACTCCCCAGTTTAAAGTTCACCTCTTTCACTAAAAATAACCACAAACCACCACCTCATTCACCGAACCAATAACTTATACTCAAACCACCATCGAACCAGCCACATTTACTGTTAACACCACCACCGGTCAACACCTTGCACAGAGAAACAATCATCAGCTATCTCCAGCCAGCATCATCATCACCCCCTAACAGCCTCCATCGGAAAACTCACCTGCAAATGATTAGCAAAATAAGGAATAAGACTTACCAGGAAAGAATAATCAGGGAAAATCAGGAAGGAAGAATCAGGGCATGGCAATATTTAATTCGAAATTAGCAAAGGATTTGGGGTTCTTAAACCGAAAGCAAACAACGATAGAGATGGAGGAGGGGATGAGCATCGGTGATGCATTAGAAACCTGCAAATCTGATTCTGGCGTCGAGTATCTTAAGTAAGGTAGGATTCACCGGTGGGCTGCAGCGAAACGGATCGGGAATCAGATGGTGAATTGTTTCGCGATCTCGCCAGATCTACCTATGACCTGCTGAAGCAACGCCGATGATGGTTGGAGGGGTCCAACGACAACAACAACGATAGTGGTTAGAGTGGTCCAAGTCGCGAGAAACTGCTTGAAAGAGAAATAGAGGAGAGGTTGTCGGGTTTATGGAGAGGAAGTGGGTAGGGTGAGATTGAGGGAGAAAAAGCGGGTGGGGAAAGGGAATGGGAGGAGTGGGTGGGTTGGGTATTGTTTCTTAATCTGAAAATGATAAACAAAATAAAAATAATAATTGAAAAAGAAATTATTAAGGGCAAAATAGTTATTTTATGTCCATATGGACGATCCGAGTAAAAAAATCTATATAAAGATGGTCCGAATTAATTTTTAAAAATAGTGACCGAACGTGATTTTTGGCACCTTTACGAGAGATGATTCATATAATTTACTCCGTTTGATATAAAATTCGAAAAGAAAAACGTTAAGGCATTGAGAAACAATCCTTTTACAAAAATAATTTTATCAAAATTTTAAACAACAAAATCTATAGGTACATTGATTTTAGAAGCAAGAGAAGTTGGTATGAATTCCAAACCAAGCAACCCTCCTACAACCTATGAGGAAAACTATTTCAACACACATAATTGATGGTTGATATGATATTAGACATCACAAATTAACTATTTTTTTTAAAAAAAAATTAACTAAAATAACATATAATATGTTTGGAAAAGATAATGTAAAATTTACTTCAATGAATCTGATTATCTGATTCACTTAACTAATTAAATGGTTTTTTTTATATTTCTTATATGTAAATATATAAACTCATATACATAAATTCTTATCGGTTGTTTACAAATATAAAACTCAATAAGTTTCAATGAATCCAAAACTATTTATATTTAGATTGTTATCAACAATCAAAATTGATTGATTTGTTATAGAAGTAATATTTTTCTTGTACCCTATGAAACTTTGTACCTTTACAAGTGTCAAACCTTTTCTATAGGTACCAACCCACATAGTGACATAGTGAGTGAACCAACCCAAACCAAACCAAACATCTCACTCACTCCACAAATTCTAAATCATTCCTTTTTTACGCCTTATATAACTCATAACCCCTCTCACTTCCATTAAGCACATTCTCACAAAAGTCATTCAAAATAATCACATTCTCAAAAACACACACACACACAATGGCAACATATGTCATCAAGATGGTGAGTTTGATGGCAATATTGAGTTGTATCACATTCACTTCCGCAAAAGTTTATACAGTTGGAGACTCAAGCGGATGGGCGTTAAGTGTTGATTACACTGGTTGGACTAGTGACAAAACGTTCCTTGTGGGAGATAGACTTGGTAAGATTTTGTTTCATTTTTACCCTTGCAATAAAAAAATCGTAGACATCAATGATATGAGTTAATCACATTCTTACCAAACTTCTTGAATTTTATCTAGTTTTTGTTTTTTCAACAATTTTTCACCTCTAAGTACTAGGATATTAAACCTATGAGATATATAATATACTTGGTCTTGGTCTTTGTTTCCATTTTACCCCTACATTATGTATTTCATGTCAAAAGAGATCGACATAATCATATGGTGAAAACTAGTTATTAAAACGCATTTCATATTGATTTATAGATAGAAAAAAAAATGGTTTTATGACTTTATCATGGTAGGAATAAATCATCATCGGATCCCATTTTTTTCTAGTTATTATTTTTATTCAAATTGTCATCTCAACTCCTTATAAAAGTAAACCGAACAAATTTATCTAACATCATGTCAACTGACATTCTACCCTATAACTAATAATTTCTTTATGTTTTTGACTTAGTGTTCAACTATGATAGTAGCCATACGGTGGATGAAGTGAGCTCCGACGACTACACCACCTGCAATGTCGGCAATTCCATCATGTCTTACAATTCCGGCACAACCACCATCACCCTAAACACCACCGGATCCCATTACTTCATCTGTGGTGTTGTCGGGCATTGCATTGTTGGCATGAAGCTAACTGTCGATGTCACCGGTGCCGCCGGTGTCGGGAGCCCCTCTGCCGCCCCATCAGCTGTAACAGGCGATTCACCCACCGCCACGCCTTTTGGAACCACCCTTGCTCCTCCCACTGTCGCCGGAAGTACTAGTAATATTCCGGTGGAAAGTTCTTCGCCTGCCGTCTCCCCGTTTGCGGCTGCTATTTTCAGTTTGGTTGCATTGATGTCGGTCTTGATTATTGGTTGAGTGTTCATGCCAGGATTTAGTTCTCATTATTTTTATTTTAGAATTTCTTTTTAATGTATTTTTGCATTGTGTATTTTATCATTTTGATTATTGACTTATTTCCTTTCAAAAAAACTAGTCTAAGCATTGTTAATTCAAGAAACTATTCATTTGGTCAGCTATCTTTTCGTCCACAACTTTTAATCCGTTCATACTAATTTTTGGTTTAAAAAAAGTTAACCAAATTAAAATAGAATAAACAAAGTAATATTAACAAAATTGATATATTTTTTTTCTAAAGTTATATATATAGGCAAAAGTTCAACAAGTAATTATTTTAAACTATAGAACAAGGAACCCTTATTTTTTCAAGTTTTAGATCTTATTATTTATCGAAAAAAATTCTAAAAATATATAAATTCATAACTTTTTATCTTCTTTCCATTGATATCAAATTTGATAATTTATTCTTTTTTTTATTTTTATCTGTTCAAATTCACATTGTAAATCTGCACTATAAATCATTAATTTTGTATAAATTCACTGCATGAATCTGCACAAATTCACAATGTGGATCTGTACAGATTCAGAACAAATTCACAGTGTGAATCTGAACATATCATTTTTTTTATCAAATTTGATATTAATGGATGGAGGATAAAAAGTTATAATATATATATATATATATATATATATATATATATATATGATGAAAATTTTGCTTTAGAAGTTGAGAAAAGATTGGTTCCTTGGTTCTAAGGTTTAAAATAGTTCTTTGTTGAACCCAACTATATATATATATATATATATATATATATATATATATATATATATATATATATATATATATATATATTGTAAGTGTGTTGAAGAGAGAGAATATATATGACAAAAACGAAAATTGCAATGTATTTTTTTTATTGATTTTGCTACACACATATACACAAATATAGTCACATCGCATGCAAACACATAACCATAAGCACATACATATCTATAGTATTCTATAGTATTATTGTATTTTGAAATAACTATAAATAAAAACATATATTGGTATAAAAACATAAATATTTAAAAGAAACTAATCTTTATATGTTTTCACAACCTAAATACATGAAAATGTATGTGAAAAAATATAAAACAAGTCTAAAAAATTTTAAAAAAGAAAAATATAATTAAAAATAAAAATATATACAAATAGTAATTCTATAGAAAAAACTTCAATTTAAAAAACATACTTATAACAAAATTAAAGGACAATTAAAAAAAACAGTTTGGCAAAATTCAGGAAATTTAAAAAAAAAGGGGGCCAATAATGAAAATTTTTAAAGCCGGATGGGGCTGTTGCGGTCCAAAATCGATTTTTAGAGAAAAAAAAGGACTATTTATTTAGTTTTTCTCACATAGGAATAATTTCTGTCTATTTGAAACTATAGGGACTAAAAAGAAATAAAACATTGTAGACCATGTGTAACTATCTTTTTGGTAAATGTTAATGTATATAATGTTTTTGACCACCTTTTAGAAAGGAAAAAAATTGTTTAGTTGTGAAATACTTTCGAGACACATTTTCTTCTAAAAAATTGTTTCATTTTCAAGCCAGAAAAAAAAAACATATTTTCATTTTTAAATCAAAACAAACAACGAAATAGCAAAACAATTTGATGTTAACTGAAAGAAATTAATTGCCGCCCAAACATTACCATTTAAATAAAATTTAATAGTCGTCTCTGCATTGCATTATACACTTCAATGTACTTTTCAGTTTTCACCATAATATTGTATTTATGTAAACAAGATTGTCAATAAACATGCTTTTTGAAAATGTACCAATTGTTAAAGAGAAATTAAATATCCTCCTACTTTTTGTTCCTATATATCCTCCTACCCAATGAAATGGTGACATGTGTAACATTTAATGTTTTATACTTTTCACCATTTTATCTTGAAGTAACTAAATGGGGGATTTATATAGTATAAAGCTTAAAAAATTAACATGCTACTCTACTTAATTTCTAATATTGTCCTTAACATACCACATAACTAACATAAAATAGAAACAAATACGATAATAACTCTTAAATAATTACTAATAACTATTATTAGAAGTTTATAATTATAAGATAATGATGCTGATAACAATAGTAATTGATAGATAGTTCCATTTTTTTTTTCTTCCAAAAATGAATTCCTATCCATTGGAGTTATTCCGTTCATATTGGTAATGAAAGACAAATCATCCAAATAGCTTCGAAATTTGATCAAATGGATCGAGATTCATATTCCTTTCCACCATTTTCCTTGAACCAAACACCACGTCAAAGGCCATATACACTAAAGTTGGATAAAAAGCTTGATGCATTTGACTAACTATTTAAGTTCATATTCAACTTTTATTTCAATAACACCTTGTAAACTCCTTTTACTATGGGATTTAAAGGTGATTTTATGAATTAGATCATTATTTAGTCCATTTTGATGGTTGAATGAAAACTAAAAAGTAGGAGGGGGTATAAATTGAATGGGGAGCAAATATGTTAGGTTGCTTGGATGTGGTGATGAATGATGATTCCTCTTTTGGAATGCCTACGCTAGCTTTTATTTTTGTATTAGAACAAAAAAACAAAGAAAATAACATAAATTAATTAAAAAAGAAGAAGAACGTGGATAGTAAACAACCTTGGTAGGGTAATGGGTATACTTTTCTTCACTTGTCTCCTCTCTCTACTCTACACTCTTCATATCAATCCTTTACATCTTTAGGAGGTGATGCATTTATTCTTTTTGTACAAATCCCATTTTATTAATCAGTTAAATAGCAAGCCTCTAATATTGTTTAAGACCCGATTATTCATTCAAATCACTTTGTTGAAAAGTATTATTAGTATTATGAGGAACAAGAACATGGTGATGTGCTAGAAAATGTGTCTTATGACATCAACATGAGATGGATAAGATAAAAAGAGTTTTCTTTATCTTTATTTATCATTTCCTCATCAATTAATTAATAATGATATAGGGTACAATGAAAATTTGAAAATAAAACATTAAGTATCAAGAAAGAAAGAGTTACACATCTTCAAACTGAAAATTGATTATTTATTAGTTATTACCTTCCTCCAATTTTAGGTGTTGTTTGGGTAGTTGATCTTCTAATTGAAGCTATTCTCTGTAGTCTAATTTGCTCTCTGAATTTCGCTATGAATTCATCAGCTTTTTTATCCACATCTGGACCATGATCATGAAGCTCATTCCCCACCATTTCTCCATCATTTTTTGAAGCAAGTTCTTGAAGCTCATCCTCATCGCTTTCCTCTTCTTCTACATCTTTCTCGGCTTCCATGAATTCTTTCTTCTCTTCATCATCCGCCATGAATTTCTTTTTCTGACTCCCTCTTCTTTCTAAAAACCTTTCGATTTCACTATCATGTAATAAATATTCATCGAATTCAGTTTGTTGTCGTGGTGTTCTAAATGAATTTGATTTAGCTGCCATTGGGGTATCCTCTGAGAATTTATTCGGGAAGCTTCTCGCATTTCTTCTAAACTCCTTACGTGAATACGTATCGCTTGTGTTTTGGGTGTTGGTTAAGTTCACTCGTCGGTGATACGGTGGAGGTGGGGGTGGCGGAGGCGGAGGAGGAATTGGTGAGAAAGATGATGACTTGGTGGTGGGGATTTTTTTCCGGCCAACATCTTGGAGCGATTTTGATTGGATTTCAGACGACAATGAGAGAGATGGAGGATCTGAAGAATGATATCGAGAAGAAGAAGGTGAGTCGATTGGATTAATAATTTCAGGCGTTTGAGTAAATTCCTCTTTGATTTCCATCCTCCCTGATCTCGATCTCCATGGAATCGGTGACTGTAGAACGATATTCTCCTCCTCCGATTCCGGACTCACCCCGCTTAATTTGCTCAAATTTCTATTAAATCGCCTCGAGTTAGATCTCCCGACCTTAAAATCGATCATGGAAGAAGATTCAGAAACTCCATTTTTCAAACTACGAACAGGTAGAAGCAGAGGCTTTTCAACTGTTGCTAATGAATCCGCCGCTTGCTGAGAGGTCTCTTTCGCTACAACTACGATAGGTTCGCCTCTATAATACTGAGAATTCCATGTCTGAACCTTATTATTATTACTATGATTGGGCTCCGATGGGGTTTCAGAATCATCATCAAAAACCGATGAGACTTGAAGCAATCTGGCCACATACGACTGAGCGTTATCGGACTTAACGGACCCCTGTTGTTGCTGTTGTTGTTGTTGTTCATCGTTCCGTTTGCTGAAAAGTCCATAAGAGACAGCAATCCCGACGAATAGAAGTTGCAGAAGCTCCCAACTTCTGGTGTTTATTGTGTGATTGATGAAATCAGGGGCTTCAGAAGGGAATAAGGGAAGAAGCAAGAGGAAGATGGATACGAAGACGGCTTTGTAGAAGAAATGGGTGTAGAATTTATTTGGGTTTTGAGGGAGTTGTGGGTTGTTGATCATGGTTTTGTACAGGTCTGTTTCCGCCATTGATTTGTAGAACAAGAATGAACAACTGAATTATATGAGAAGATGGAGGAATGAATGAAGATTGAAGTTATGAAGATGGTGGAAGGTGGTAGGGAAAATAGGAAAGAATTTGGAAGAATGAGTTGGTTTGAAGCTATATATGCTTTTTCTTTTTCTTTTTCCTCACACTCACACATGCTCTTTCTTATTCTCTACAACCTGACTAGAATTTGTATACCACCTTTATGCTTAAAACGTCAATAAGAAGCTACATTTTAGGGGTTTTTTTGTTCAAAATAAAAGGCACCGAAAGAACACATTTTCCTTAATTTATTCCCCTAAATAGTTATTGCACTTTGGTCCTTCCTCTTTAACCAAATGTGTAATTACCACCCAATTCTACTAACTATAACAATTTATGGAATGATATTAATAAATGATGTAATTGAAGGTGTTCGACTACTTATCAACATAATAACTTGTGCACTTTCTGTGAGTGAATTTGTTTCTAACAGAAAAAAGTGTAAGTAAACATGTAGAGTCACATGGCCCATACCTTGAATCACGGTCAGCGGTCAGCACCAGACTTTCACGGTCAGCACATGTCCGCTACGATCTCTGTTGCAGGTTTTCAAAAAAGCTCCATTGATGACACACACACAGGGAACAAAAGTAGACATAAAAAGGCAAAATCTCTACGGATGAACTCATGAACAAATCGGTATATAAAATGATAATGATAACAACAACAAATCGAGTACTAGATCGTGAATCCGAGATCGACATACAACAAATTACTAAAATCAACTACTAAATAAATAATAGTAACAATGAACTGGAATATCATACGAATCGATATTCAGAAACCCTCACTCAATGTGAAAATCATGAACGCCACTAGATCTATCTCTACAGGACGAAAGCAGCGGCTAAGACAACCACGGCAACGGATCCGGCGGCGGCGACTCTGTTCAAGCTAGCGGAGTTAGGAGTAGAGGTAGGTGAACCAGTGGGAGTCGATGAGATCGAAGGAGGAAAAGCGGTTGGAGAAGATGGAGCTAGAGAAGTAGGAGGAGCCAGTGGAGGAGCCGGTGGAGAAGCCAATGGAGCTTCAGTCGGTGTGGCAGTAGGAACAGCGGAGACAGGTGAAGGAGGTGCGGCGGTGGGCGAAGCCGTTGGAGAAACCGTTGGAGCTGCCGTAGGTGACTGAGCGAAAGCAAATCCAGCGATCAATGCAACCAGCAACACCATCAGACAGCTCGAGTATGCCATTGTTGTCGTTGTAGAAAGCTTCTGTAATTCCTGAGAGAGAGAGAGAGAGAGAGAGACAGTGAATCAGTGATTAGACGATGAGAATAGAACAGAGAAGGAGGGTTTATATACTGCGGTTTTTTAAGTAATGCCAGCAGTCTTAGTTGTCGTCCACCAAATCAACAGCACTAGTGGCGTACACGTGTCACAGAAGTTTTACTTTCAACCGTTGGATTGAGGGTGTAGTGTCTTACGGTGGACCCTTGAGAAAAGAAAATTGGCGAAGTACGAAGTTACCGTTATAATGAGGCACGTTGTAGGGGTGTTAAGTAATTTAAACGGAAAAAGTCAAAAAGTCAAAGGCTGCTTTATATTGGTGAGACATTGTGACGTCAACTAACGGCAAATACAGATCATACCTTAGCCTAGCTTTTCTGTTTATTTGAGTGCTTTTTACTTTTATATTTTAATACAGCAAAACTGGTATAAGTAAATCATTTTTTTTTGTAAAATAATACTTTATTCGTTTATATATAAATTCGTTAATCTTTATAAATGCCTTAATTAGAAGTATAAATTATTACTAAATATATGATAAGGTTAATAGTTAAAGATAATTATGATAACGAAAATTAAAATATATTGTATGTTATCAATATAAAGATACATAAAAAGATCATTATTATGATCATTTGACCTTTTGAATTACAAAAGAGATATAAATAAACCATTATGACCTTTACATTTAAGAATTGTTATAATTATACTAAAAGGATAAAAGAAATTTTGTTTGTTTTAAGTAAAAACTTCATTTACTTTTTGTCAGTTATATTCTTTTTCTGAAATTAAATATTTAATGTAGAAAAGAAAAATGATCAATAATTTGGAGACACGTTGATAGGAGAAGGTCCCAAAAGCAAGCACAAATATTCTAAGCTTAATGGGCCAACTCCAACCCATCATAAGCTTGCAATCATGTTGGCCACCTCATTTAGAGCATTCATTCATCAATTTTCCAATAAAAATATATACAATTAGATATATATTATAAAAGTATATTATCTTCTTCATATCAGTAGATTAAAATATAAACATTTGATTAAACATACGAATTAAATACTATCTTTAATGTTACAATTCACTTGCAATGAGGCTAGTCGGTTAATTGCTAGAGATACCAAGTGAAAAAAAAAAAAAAAAAAAAGATGAACGGCAGTCACAACTAACAAATTGTAATACAATCAAGTTGAATTGGGTTAATACATCAAGTATTTTTTAGTTCCTTTTTTTTAATATTATAACTAGTTATTGTATTAACACGATATACTATCATGTAAATATAATGCAGATCCATTCTTTTTTCTAAAATTTATTGATATTGTGATCCACATCACCAACATGTTAAGAGTATATCCTAGCATTTCAATGGTCCAGGAGGCGAATATGAATCTTTTATGGTTCCGGGGGGCTAAGTATCCGACATTTCAAAGTTGAGGGACCTGTTAGTTAATGAGAGAAACAATAGTAAATAAAGGACTAAAGGGCAGGGATTTTGCATTCATAACCTAATTAGGGCATAACAAGAGAAATTAAGTGGCTGAACGTGATCAAGGTAAGATTCTGAAACAATTTTATGTGTATGGATTCTTAATGATGTATTTCAAAGTGTTTACACAATCATGCCATTGAACAACGTATTTTGTCTTTAGTTGTTATCATGGTGGCTTTCACCGTATTCCAATAGTCTGAGTTGGAAATTATAACTTAATATCTAGCTTTAATCGCTGATTTTTATACCAAAACGTAGGGTAATGGTAGATTTTGAAAGTAATTTATATATAAAAAAAAATGCATTCTAGTAGTTGAAGAAAGTATAATGCAGTTTCCAAAACATCTGTTTGTGCATTACAGATATGAATAGATAAGTGGTAGTGACCACAATCCCCTTGTTGTGAATGTTTCAAATATACATTTATGTCCACATGACTTGATGCAAAGAGCATTGAATTGAGTAGTGAGTTCATTGAACAAAATGAGTCCCTCAAACACCATGTGGAAGGTTTTGAGATAGTTATTGTAGATCTTGATGACACTACAAGTTTGGGCCTCGAGAGTGTTTGTTATATGATCTTGGTTTTGTTAGATAAAAGGGATTTAAATTTTAAGTAGGGTGAAATTGATGATCAAAGTCATAGATATGTAATGACATGAGTTTAACAATATAGGCTTCTTGATGCAATATAGTAGAATTAGGATTAAAGAGATTATTAACAACAAACTATGGGGTAACTTCACATTTTCTGATTAATAATTACCTAAAAATAAAATTTACAACTAAAAGACATGTCATTGCGATATGGTTCATAACATACCACGTCATGTTGAGTAGGCATATATTTCACCAATAAATGTTGCTACCCAAAGAGCTTTTAGTCTAACGGTATCTGATGCTGCATTCCCTCTTGAGGTTGAGAGTTCAAGTCTTATCCGAAACATTTGTAAAATTAATAGTAGTTTAGAAGTAGGTTAGATTTGTCGTTTTAACAAAAAAAAAAGATGCATCACGATTTTTAAACTAGTGTCTTGTGGGAGGTTTACATTGAATTGCAATGTCAAAATTGTATTGGATGATTGTTAGGCGTGTCAAACCCAACAAATAAAGGGGTACAAATGACTCCAAGTGCACTACTCTATTGCACTAAAAGGTAGTACAAGGCAAGTAGGGTCGATCCACAGAGACACGGGATAATTAGTTTATACCTCTTTGCGCAAGGTACTATGGTCACCAACAGTAATAAGGGGGGTTTAGAGTGCAATGACTAAACACACAAATTTAAAACACGAGTAGACAACTAAACGAATGAATTAAGTTCAGATTTTGTAAGGACTCCAACTCCATGTATGACAATCCAGCAATGTGAATCAAAGATGACAAGACGTTTGTTTCATTCTATCTAAGTTGGTACTTGAAAGTGTTAACAAGCTCTAACACTTTGCATTCACCACATTAATCAATCAAAACAAGCTCTTTGATTAATCCTAACCTTATTAACCTAATCTAAACAAGCTCTTAGAAGTAGATTAAAAGATTGCATTAAGCTTATTGTGAATGTTCCCAACAACACCCAATACTCCTCACAAGCTCGGGAGCGTAAGAATGTGTGAAAAGATTTACACTAAATTCATTCATAAGAAATCAATTTAATGCTTGTTACTTAGTTCAATTCACAAAACAATTACGGATTTTGCAAAATGAATAACTTGAATGACCTAACCCCAATTCAAATGGCCAATAAGAATCATTATTAGAATCAAACATTCGATTGAAGTAAAATCAATTTCACTAGATAGAAATTAAACACAAACATCAGGTCATATGATTTGATTCACAACCAAAAAGTCAAAACATGAAATTGGAGAAGTTAGGGTTCTAGCCACACATGGCTAGAACAAGATCACAAGTCTAAAAGATGAAATTAAGTGTAATTACAACTTACAAAAACGAGAATTAATGTTTCCAAATGATTAACGGACAAACCCTTGCAAAAACCTTCGAATTCTCCTCTCCAATGGTGCTCTGATATGTTGTGTCTTTGTAAAAATGGCCCTCAACCCGTAATATGAAAGATAGGAAAAACTGCCAAAAGTTGGTTTCTGGGTCGAACACGGCCCGTGTTGGACATAGAGTAAAACTGACACGGCCCGTGTTCAGCATGGTCAACAGCTCCCATTTTGGTCAACACGGCCCGTGTTGGACATAGAGTAAAACT